GTGAGGGCACACAATTGCTTTACAAGACAGAGTCATTGCATTCTTTTCATTTAAAAAAATGATTACATCCTTTCACTGAGAAGTCATGGCAGAAATGCAAGGCAGAGAAAACCATCATTCTGATTAGACACTTATGAGGTCTGTCTATAAATAAATTATGCCGTTTCTACAAAACAGTCGAGCACATTCGCATGTGTAAACTATGGAAAAACGAGTAAAATTCTTCGAACAGTGATCATATGACCTACGATTGTCACTAGTATTTTCAGTGCGTCTGAGTAATGACAATAATTTTATTCACATAACGTTCACCATCACTAATCATTCTCACTTCCAAGTCAATCATCAACAATAACCTACCTTTAATTGATGGCGCATTAACTGCTGCGGTCCACATCTACAAGTATGAGACATTCGATGAATATTTATTTTTTAAGGTGATTATCCTCTTACCTTATTGGTGATGGAGCTAACTTCTGTGTTTACGAGACTGAAAGCGACTGCCGCAGTTGAATCGGTCTATAAAAAAAAGGAAATGGGTGTGAACAGAAAAATCGCACTAACGAAGGAACCCCCAGGTGAAGCTCCGCTTTTGACATGATATTTTGCCCATATGTAGGTCTTAGTGAGACTAGGGTGTGGGTGTGCGTGTGGGATGTTGGTGCAGAAGGTGGATAAAGAGACATCCACCTGCCGACCCACACTCACCCCACACCCACACTGCAAGAGAGGATGTGAACTTCATATCTCAACAAGGAAATCATAGAAACGTGAACCATTTTGGGGTTTTTCTAGTCTCACTAAGACCTACATATGGGCAAAATATCACGTCAAAAGCGGAGCTTCACTTTGGAGTGTTCCCTCGTTAGTAAATTCACTTTCAAATGACTGATATGTTTAGTCAATAATTTTACAACTGATTAATCTCTCACTTTTATCGTAATTATTTTCGAAAATTAGAGAAAACCTAGCAAGTCTTACAAATGATATCTAAAGTATCTTTGGGCATGTAAGAATCACATATGACAATGTTATTTTCGCAGTTGACTCATCTAATGTGATGTTGCAGTACGATTTTAGAGGTTAGTTTCGATTCTATTGGGAATAATGAGCATGTTTTGTATTTTTTTAAAATTTTTCTTATGTATTTTAATTTGTCATGATCAATGATCGGAAATGACAATATAATTTTTATTATTTAATGCAACTATAAAAAGGCAAACCCGATCGAGTGTATTATTCAAGAGAGGACATCAATAGTAAAAAATGGAAAATAGAGATTTCACAGAATAGCAGGGTTGCATGTTGAAAAAATATGTTACTATCAAATACAGACACAGCGTGCTTGTTACTCTTTGTAAAGATATTTGCTTGTAACTATTTCACGTGCAGCTATAACTTATTTAGAAAAAGATCGATCAAAAAACAATAAAATGTGTACGGCAGAATAAATGGCAATCTCAGTGTTCTTCTAAATATCTTAATTTGTTCTCGTCACTTCGAAACAAACTTCTCTTATAAAAAGATTCATCGTTTAACTCTCTACGAAATTGTAACTTTCTATAAAAGAATGCATAATTTATAGATTTTCGATACACATCACCAATGACCACTGGAAAATATACAACTTTTCAAGTTCGTCTTTATGAAATTTTATTATTACTTTTTTTAATTGTTAAAGTAATGTTCTGTTTGACTTTCATCAGTTACTATTCCTGATTTAAAAACTTTAATTCGCATTGACTAGTCTAACTAATTTGTAAATTGATTGTTCGAAGGCTAAGCACCCCTATTAATACAAGAAAGAAAGTTGTGTCATGGCATCATCACTGGGTTAAATAATGGTATGCAGTTTTGTACTATTGTGCTTAAATATTCAGTCATTGCTAAACAACCTATTCTTATCGTTTTTGGTAGGTGAACTGGTTGTGTGATTTAAAAAATGTGAAGGAGATATGGCTCTTATACAAAAATGGCAATTTTAGCAATTTCATGCGAAGTCAGAAATCAGCCTTTAATCTAATGCTAATTCTTGACATCGCTTTCTATCTTAAATTGATAAAGATCATTGGTTTTCGAACAGTCAATGTACAAATTAGTTAGACTAGTCAATATGAACTGAAGGGGTGTGGGTGTAGGTGGTGTTGACACTGTTTAACCACACCCACACCCTACTAAACACTCTTGGACAACCGACTAAATGACCTGACTATCGCAGTTACATAGTATTGATGACAATGGAAGCTTTTTTTTTTATCGTGGTACATTACAGTTTTTTACAAGCATATTGTACATCAGCACACTTGATTCAGGATGACCAGGCCTACCTCAACTTTTGGGAAAATCCCGATAAGTTACCTTTCGAGGGCCGTTCTAGTGAAATTTTACAGATCTTGTCACCTCCAAGTCATCTTTCAGTGACAGAATTATAAAGAACATTTTTAAAAAATATGTTAGAAATAGTTCGACACGATATTCTCGTGACTCCTTACATATTCTCCCATACTTCGATATGTACTGCATGACGTGTGTAAAGTCAATAGTGGATATTAGATCAACATCAACCTGAAAAAAAGATTTTAACCAGCGGCGGGTATGGTTGTTAGTGGGTATGGATGAACATGGGTGTATGTGTGAATATGAATTTTTACATCATTCACAACCACACCCATATTTATGTGATACTCTGTGCTTGAAAGCTTTTCACTCTTAAAACTTCGAAACTTTGTGATCTGAAGTGTTTTTGCTGTCACTCCCTGATATTTGAGCGTATGGGAGAGACCTTCACTTCTTCATTCGCCTCAGGAATTGTAAGATGAAGTGAGTCTGTTTTTTTCGTTTTTCTCATACATTTCTTTGTAATTTGAAGGCTTTCGCATTGATCAAGAAACCAGAATGTGGCCTTGTCTACATTAGATAAGTTAATGCTGAATTAAGAAACGGGGTTGATTGAAAATTTAATTCAGATTTAATGCATCAATCGGGGAAGAAGTTGATTCACAAATAAAAATATCATTGATAGATATTTTCAATACGATGAACTATAGAATATAAGTGAATAGGAACTGAAGCATAAGAATAATTAAAGCTGCAACATTTAACGAACCAATAGTTGAAAGAAATAAGTTGGAATGGTAGATATTTTGTTAACAAATTTCATTAGTCACTCATGTTAGTTATCAAAGAGAGGCTGAAGCGACATTTTGTGTCATTAATACGCGCTAGAATTATGCGTTTCGACTGTATTGTAATGGCCGATTCTCAGTTCTGATTGATACATTAAACTCGTAAGTGTAGACGCATATATATTGAATTCGAAATTAATACTAAATTATTTCTGTAGTGTAAATAAGATCTATAGCGCCTTCACTTTAACGCTTGTATTATTCAACAGATATCTCGTGCTTCTATTATGACACATTCATCTGTCGCGAGAGATATTGATCGTCTCTTTCATAGATCGTACTGTGAGTCATTACCCCTGTCTGTTTTAAGTATTAATTTGTGGTACGGATCGTTTTTTTCTGCTGAAGCTGAAACTATTATGGTGCAATCCTGAGCTTTGTTCCTGACACTGACACGTTGTTGTCAGATCTACTTCTTTTCGCCCTCGATCTGCTACTATGATATGTTGCTTGGAAGCACTTGCTCAGATTTTTTAACATGGCTTTATAACCCATTTTGTGCTCCTCCATTTTGGCAACTTGCTGTAATGTCTGAAGCTCTCTGCCCTCACTCTTAAGCATTGTCATGTGGTCAGAAGCTTTTCATTCGCACTCGGACGCAATAATATTTCATAGAAAGTTATTTATCATCACTTTCACTTGTACGTTTTTTATTAGACGGTTATCGCCCTAGTATTTACTTTATGCTGTGTAACCAGAATCCTCCTTCGGCTACCCAGAGGCACAGTTTTGTGGTTCGTATTTTTTCCCGCATTGTGACGCAATCACGTGTGAAAACAAGATATTCGCTCACAGTCTTGGTCATAATTTGGCAGTACCGTCAGACTATATTTATGCCTTCATTCATGAAATTCTCAATCACACTATTGTAACAAGTAACGCAGCGCAAACGCTGCTAACCCTCTACTGAAAGGATGAGTTGCACTGAAGATAGGATATTAGAAGTACTAGATATGGAAAATGATTCATTGGCAGCGCGTTAAGGAGCGAAATGAAATGAACCATTATTCTTCAAGAGTTGAAAATGTAGATTCTCATATTCAGTAGTCTCTACGGAAATTGCATATTCTGAGCATGTTAAAAATATGCTTTATATCCACATGATATCATCAACATTCTCCGTACTCGCTTTACCCAGCTAAATATTCTTATAGCATTATCTATAGTCTAATCAAAGTGCTAGTATCGCATCCCCAAGTTTCAAAATGTCTGAAATTTGAAACCAAGCAATTGAAAGTGACAAAAAGTTCTGTGTTAATGCCTGAAAATGACAATATGCCTGTAACAAGATGAGTATTAAGATTCTTGGTTCCATCAAAGCCATTTTTGTTACTTTTATTTCATGAAAAAGCTTGTTAGCGCAACTCCTTTGAGGCTGAAATATAGAACTCATATATACTATCTAGCCTAATTAAACTAATACATAACACATAGAGTGATAAATCTCTCGTAGATTATAGGTGTTTGCAGGATAATTGATATTCAGAGTAATGACTTCTCTAATCTCTGCATTTCGAAAAGAATTTTCATTTTTTTAAATTCTTTTTTTCTTAATTTAACATTCTTATTATCATTATAATCATTGAATTAATTGACAAATATGTCTGTTTTACATATTCATGATATCTACAGCAGATCTCAAGCACTATTATTTATATTGATCCACTCACAAATAGTAATATTTATTATTTTTCAAAATTATAACTTGATCAATTTTGCAACAAAATCTAAAAAATGTGACGCCTGTTATTGTTCATTGCTACGGTCTGTAATGGGAGTATGTCTGTAATGGAGAGGGGTCTAGCAGGAGTGGGAGCCACAAAAACTCGCTCTTAAATTTACACTCATCATTTTCTTCGAAAAATATGGGAATTCCACAAAACTGACTCAGCAGTCAATATATTCACTACAGTGGTGTAGTTTTTCTCTCTCGAGCCATTTAAAGTAAACAAATATATCATTCACTTTTAATTTTTTATCTCTCTTATGTTCTTTCTTGAACGGAGCAGCATCGATATGGATCTTCTCTTAATTCTTACTCACACTCATATTTCATCTTATAAATCTAGATCAGCAACAAAAACCTGTTAGCGTCAGTGACGATACACTGCGATGCTAAACCAAGATTAAGACACGCTTTCTGGTTTAATTGGCTTAGGACATTTGCCCGGATAGCAGGAGATGTGGGCTCGAGTCCCATGAAGGTCATCTTTTTCTTCATTCTCTTCGTTCACTGCATTTCCAATCATATGAATCATATATGATGCTTACAAACCCGCGTCGCTATTCGACTATGCACAGCAGAATAATGATATAAGCGACTCTGTTCCACTACGAACTGGATAATGCATAAAGATAAAAACTTTATGAGTCGAAAATTTCCGCTTTCGTAATTCTATACCCTGACTATATATGATCCGAATTCGATTGAAACTGACTGTGCTGTTGTAGAACTAAAACAATTTTATTGTAAGTATTGATGTACGTTAAAGTCCCTAAATCACACTGTGTTAGTTATGATTCGCTGAAGGGTACGCAAATGAACTCCACAGATGCCTAAAAACTTTGATCGATAGTTATTGATGCCTGTCTAAAATTCTCAGGGATGCATCTCTTACTATAGACAAATGAAGGTATACAGAATTTGAAGATATTGTAATAGATATGGATATCTGAATACGCAGCATATTGGCTTCATATTTCTGATAAATTACTAGCATTGATTCGAGTACTGTTACTCTGAAATAGAGCAATAAAAACAAAAATTCTCGTTACAAGTATATCATGGAAAGCAAGATTGAAACTTAAACATAGAGTATATTTCAATTTAAACGCAATTTTTCGTTCTTTTAAATATGTAAAAAACCATGTTAAAATAAAGTTTGGCTTCTATAGAAGAATCAACTGATATTCGTCTATCTATTCAAAAACTATGAAGAGTTTTTGACAACTTTGTAAATTCGGATGAGTGGTTGAAAAAGAGATATCAAGTTTCGTTCTCATCGGGTGTGACTGTGGCTATGACGATCTCGGTGCTGGTGTATGTTGAGTCAAGACTAGCATCCACACCCATGGTTGTGCTTTTGGATGTCTGAGTGTAACTGTGGGATCGGTGCCGAGTTGCGAATATGAGTGTTCCCTTCACTGTCATCAACACTGAAGTCGTCACTCCTACGCCTACATACATCCAAATGCCCCTGATACACAGATTCTTGATTTCCTCTTTTCTAATTGATTCTTTACCTGTTGTTGCGTTTTAGACTTGATTGCGCTTAGTAGTTGAAGTGAAATGTTAAAACAGTTAAAAGTCGCTGAAAATGCAGTAGAAGTCGTCTCGTTTTATAGATTACTTCATCATTTTACTGACATTTATTGAAGAGGCGAGCTTGAAGAGAGCGACAATAAAATTTATTGCTTACGAAAGACACATGGCAATAAAATATTATTATCTTTATTGTTGGGCTTTTTTAGCAGATATTTGTGCAGCTAGAGGAAAGGTGCGTTTAATCGACAAAGCTTAAAACAAGCTGTGAAAAGAACCAAAATAACCCAAGTCTAGCATTACGACGAGCAGATACGACTGTACACGGCCGTTTACGACGCTGTATTTCTATGCGCCGTATAACGGTCGTAAACCGCCGTGTCGTATACAGCCGTAAATCGCTGTGCCGTACACGACGACTTACGGCCGTATACGATACCCTATCGTATACTGTTATGGACCAATCACAATTCAGTGGGACTTTTCTTGCTTATTATAAGGACAACATCTAGTCATGTTCGAGCCGATTCTATGGTTATCGAGGTCGCTCTATCTAATGAAGGGAATATCTATAGGGCCCCTCCTTATTCATAGCTAAGAGCTAGAATCTCGCAATCTGATTGGTCAATTAAAATGGGCCAATGAGATTCGAGGGTCGCTTGTGGGTGGGTTTTGTTATGAAGACAGTTGTTAATGATGTCTGAGGATGTGGCTATGGGTGTGGGTGTGGGGTGGATGTGAGTGTGGATTGAATAAAGATCACATCCACACCCAATTTCATATCTTCCGAAATTCTTTCTAATCAGTATTTCAATCATATATTAACTCTATTTATGATGCTTAATATACTCTTTCTAGTCTTAGTATACTCTTTCTAGTCTTAGAACTCATCGCAATAAGTTACTCATCAAAATGAAGTAATCAAAATCAACTATACCGAGTAAATTTCAGTGATGATTGATTTCAACTTCTTTGAGTGTTGTGTATGTCAGACAGGTCTATTTTTTTTTGTTGTTGAATAAATCGTTTATTACTTTTGCATTGTAGCAGCATTTTATACTTCATCTCTGTTTCTGTTTGCCTTTCTTTTTTCGTTTTTTTTCGATTCTTTTCAACTACACAATCTATTGGGTGAGACTGCATATAATACCATTAAACCATTCAAGGTTAAGAACACAGAACGATTGAGTATAAATAAGAAAAAACTTCATATTTGCACAAAGATATTGAGTTCACAGAGATCATAAACACCTATGTTTATTGTTCTATGATATATAAATGTTAGCATCGTTCAGAAATATACAATGATTAACAGACACAAACTTTATTAGGTACCTATGAGCAGATCTGATTATAGAGCGTTAGCAGAACACGATTTTTTTTTAAATTAGCTTTACATTTTATTTCATTCTTAAATAAAAGAGACTTACATCATTATGAATATCAGAGAACTTTTCTGTAAGTTTATGAAGAAATGATAATTTCCAATATAATTACTATTGTTCAAATTAAATTCAATATTTTACAAGTTCTAACATATTCATCTTATTTCTTCAATAAAGAAAAAGTACAAAAAACCTGTTTTTTTATGTTTATTTGAGCTTGCAATTCAAAATTTATTTACATTATTGAATAAAAGAATATTTTCAAAAAAACTTATTTATAATGCATGCAAGAGAAAGTCAATCCTGTAACATAGTTCAATATGAATATAAAAATCAAAATTGAGAGTATGCTATTCTGAATATCAGTTACAATAATTAAGATCTTATTTACAACGTTCTGTCAGTGACTAAAGAAGAAGAAAGGTTTTTTTTTAAATAAACGTACTAATTCAAATATATCATCGAGTGTTTTTTTAATAATGTCTCGAAAACATAAGCAGGCGATACGAAGAAAATACAAATTTGAACGAAATTTTCAATTATATTTTCATAGCTCTATTGAATACACATTGAGAAGTACATAAGATGAATCGAAAGTTCTTCAATTGAAAAGAAAATTGAACATCATCACAAGTATTCAAGCTCTACATTCATTTTTCTTTCATTGATAGTCGAAATTGATCATTTTTCAATAAGTGTTCGCGTGAACATTCATTTTATTCATACTGACACCTATACTCTCAAATACTAATGCAAAACTAAAGACGAATTTCCAATATCAACACTTCACAATCGTTAGCATACCATTGCTTGCATGTCTAAGTTATTATTTGGGATTTCAGTCGTTATAAATGTTTTTTTAAAGAAAAAAAAGCATGATTTTGAAAATTCAAATGTGAAAATAGATTGAAAACTTGGTTTTTTTGTCGCATGGTGTTTACATGGAAATTCAATGTGTTCAGGAATCGAAGACATAACTGTACTAATAAAAAGTCGAGAGAAAGTTAGAGATCAAACTTTGATGATCATACTGTCTGATGAAATAGAGGGATATCGTTATGGATAAGATTAACAATATAAATGTTCCTTTATTTTCACTCTTGTACTACAGCAATTTTTATTTATATTGTAATCGTTTGAAACACATGTAAAATAAAAAGAACTTTTTTTTTTAAATATGCTGATTGTTGACTTTCTGTTAACTTCTTCGATTCATGGAGAAATATTCTTCCAATTTTGTTTGGTCACATTCAAGATTTGTTGAATTTTTAACGTGCGCTGCAACATCAACGAGAAAAGTATTGTACTATTAGTACGTGCATCACAAAACCTATGTTTATAATAAATGTATATCAATGAAAAAGAAATATTAAGTAACAAGTTTTCAACAGACACCAATATTGAACCATTGATACTATCAACATATATTCTATTTGATACATTGAAAATGATAAATATTACTAGTACAAATTTGTGATTGTAAAACTCATCCATCTATGATTTCTGCTCGTATGCATTCGAAAGGATGTCATAGATATTTACATATAGTTGACAAATAATGAAAAGTTTGGCTTAATTTTTTTACCATGATCGTAGTTTCAAACTTTTTATGAATAATGAACAATCGTATAATAGGTATGAATCGTATGTTTGTTATTTTTGCTTGTATCAATGGACAATGTAGTTTCTACGAGCCGATAGCAACATTGAAGATATGAATCATTCTTTTTTACATTCAAATGCAACCAAAAAAAGTTTATTCCATGAATGAAAAAATTGTCCATAGCTTTGTTTGCATTGTAATTCTGCTGGGTCTCTTCTGAAGAGTACAATTATTAGACATAAGAAAAATCAACAAAAAGTACATTGCCAACGAACAAACAAACGAAACAACAACGCACACTAATGTATTTTTATTATCATTACCTTGAGTTTTTTTTCTTTCGTTCGTGTCTATACGGTAAGTGACAATGAGAAGGCAGGATGTGCAAATAATAAAATGCTGAAAAAAATTCCAGGCTGCACTTTTCTTCTTTCCTTTCTTCTTTTCGATGTTAGTGTACCCCATCATGAGATTTTTTCTCACTTTCTCTTTCTAATACTTCTACTAAGTTGTCAAATATGGGTGAATAAGAATGCATTAGAATAAATTCAACGGTGTGCATTACATTAATCCATTTCTTTGCTCTTTATCGTTATTGAGACACAACTATATACAACTATATAATATTTTTACAATCTATATATTAAATATGATGAGAATCATGGTGAAAAGATCGTTAAAATTGAGCGATTGTTCAAGAATCTGTTCTTTGCGGCTTTCATTTTTTTTTGCTTAACAAGAACATTTTAAAATTTCTCATGATGTAGATATAGATTGTTGAAAGCTTTCTTAGTTTTAAAAATGTTTGCACTGAAAAATGGAGACAACGATAGTAGAGAAAATATTGATAAGAAATGACACAAAGATATTCCCGAAACTTGAACTAAAGATAGAAAAATTTGAAAATTCCAGTACGTATTTTTGATTGACTAATACCTTGACGGTGATGCAGTTAATCTGTTTACATCTCTAGAAGTACATGATAAATAGCTCTCATACTTCATTCGACCTATGTGACTACACGGACGTGTCTGTAGAGCTAGATCCACAACGAAGGTCATAGACGATCAATCTCTACTAGTTGATTAAGCTGACGATTGTTACAGACAAAAAAAGAAGATAAAAACGATAGACTATCCATCTATTTTGATAAAGTTCCGAAAGGGACAGGATCGTCACATGGCATCGTCAACGTAAGTGTCCATCTGAACCAACAACAGTAACATACATGAAGTATCGATATTTGAAATGTATCATCGCTTCTAAGCAATGAACTCGAAATACTATGGAGAAAATGTCATGAAATATCACTTAGGTATAGATAGAATGTGCTCTACTAACATAAGTGATACTGTTATAAAACATCATTCTTGAATGAGAGATGATCATTCTTTTATCTAGAAACTCTTCATACACTATTGGAACTTTTAAAACTCGGAAGACTATCCTAGATAAGAAGGCCATTCAGAAGCTTAGGTACACAGTGATTTCTATGTACAAGATAGATTACTACTAAATTTTGGTACATGCCACAGGTCGTCCGCACTACATACCATTTTTCATCAAAAGGTCATTGCCTAGAATATTCGGCATAGGGCAGGTGAAACTTTATGTTCTAAGGTTGTTATTCATAAAGGTCTAAAACCAATAATCATATATTCATGTCTTCCAGAGAAGAATCAAATAAAAACAAAAGGTTATATAAAATAATTATTGTACCCTTTTAGAGATATTAGATAATAGGTTGATGATGATTGGAGTCAATGTTTTTAAAAGAAGAACTAGACTACTGGGCTGTAAAGAATTCTTTAAAATAAAAGATTGCCAATACTTAGTTTCATAGTATGATTACATTTATAATGAAATGAAAGAAAAATCTAAATTCAAAGAAAATTAATATTTAATGCAAAGAAAAAAATCAAATACATGTCTAGTCTCCTCTCCTAATAAAGAACTGTTCCAGGAGCTTGTATCGTTTAGTGGAAAGAAGCAAAAGTTGGTAGTAGAGCGACGGTTAGATTTATACGTGACATTCAATTGGTTCATGTAAGCTTTATATAAAGACCAGTTTCAATTTAAGTTAGAAGGTGTGGATGTGGTTGTGATGTAGTTGTGGGTGTGGGTGCAGGTATAGGTTGATGTGAGTGTGGGTGTATGCATTTATCTTTTCTTCTTCCAAATGCCACCCACACGCCATAGCTATATCCACATCCATACCCAAAATCGTATACAACTGAATGCCAAACGAGTAAAAGCAAGTAAAATTATCTGAAAAATACTTCAAATATGCAACACGAACTGCTTTCAAAACATTACAATTCCAATTAATGTCTGTTTCCTGGAACTAGTAACACTTTGTTCGGCATCTTCAAAGTACAATTTATGGTGCAATCATGCGCGCTGTATCTGATGCAATGTCAGAAAAAATATTTGTATAAAAAATATTGGTAGAATCAGGTTTTTGGATGACCAATCCGAATCTGACACAGTTGGGCTTGTTGTTTGAATATGACTGAGAAAAAAATGTCATATAATCGATCAAAATTAAGGTATAATAACATAGTATTCAAGAGCATAACTCAGTAGATTTCGAACAAAATGAAATTTTAAATCAAACAAATAGTTTATGCCTGTTTTATGTGAAAATTTGAAGAAAAGAAGAATTCTCTTATTTTGACGCTATAGGACTTTGTTGAAAAAACTTTTGAACATACGAAAAAGACAAACCTTCAAATTCCAACAAAACAAATAGTTGTATTTGTCAATATAACTGAGCACGATAACATATGTATTCAAGTGAACTGTATTGTATGGGTTTAGATGAAGAGAAAGTTCACACCAACACTCTCAACATTTAAAAAAAACAATTTGAATCACGGTAAATTAAAAAGGGTCTATCGAATAAAATAAATTCAGGTTAACTTAACTATTGGCAAAATTCGTGCTTTGATAGACAAAAAGAAGAATATTTGAAATATGTCTGTTATCGTACATGCCTATCATAGAAATCGGTACTAACACATTTACTTGTATATAAAGTGAACATTAATGTTCAACAAAAAGTTGATGAAATGCGTTTAATAGATACCTGAAAAGATAAACGAGAATAATCTATTACAATTAAATCAATATATGATTCATTCATTCGTTTTTTGTTTAACATTAAATATTTTGAATTTTTAGAGATATTTCGCATTATTATGAATTACCTGCTAAAGATTGAGAATTTATTAAACAAACACATGCAATAGATATATCTTATTATTTAATTAATCTTATTGATCCACCTAATCATGCAAGTTTTTCATGAAAAGTTACTGATGGTGCTCTTGATGTTGTTGATTGTGTTTCAAATATTATTAAATAAAATTTTGAAAAATAAAAACAAACAAATCGTTTTTAACATATATGGGAGTCTTTGTACAAATTGAAATTATTCTTGGTCAACCTATTGATGATCGTATTATATCAATATTATTCATATATAGAATAAATCGTAATTTACTTGAATTACCATTTCAACAAGAAGATCTTTTTCAAACATTTCAACCACGTTTACATCAAGTATTTTCTAGCAATGTGAAAATTTAGGTATTTGCAGAGCTCAATTAGCTGATCATTTTGACGTATTTGGATTGTAGAGAATACCTTGGCATCTATGATTCCCAGAAGTCGACTTTTCATGGTTTTTATCGTGTAAAATTTCATAGATGATTTTTAGTGTTTTATTATCTTTTTTTCTAAGCGTTTATTATTCGTGCGTTTTCAAATCGCACAGTTTTCTTAGAAGACTACTTTTATTGAGCTTGAATCGTAGTGTCCGGAGCAATATTGTTATAGTAGAACGTGATTTATATTTCAATCGACAAAAAAATGCAACTTTTGGAATTTCTCAGATGACTGACATAGTGACAAAGATAGAGCGAACTTTGCTCTACAAAATGGTATACTTCGCTTTTCGGACCGATAAAATTTATCAAAATGACAAAGGGCATAAAATTGGACAGATTTCAATGTTTTCAGTCTATTTTTCGATATTCAATTACTATGTGGATATTTCGACATGAACTCAGCCACACGCATAAAGTTGACTACCGATTTTGATGAAAATTTCAGGGTTTGTAGAGCTTTTAATTCTAAGCATTTTGATAAAAAAATTTTTCAAAAAGCTTTTGTTTTGACTGAGATATACTCAAAATACTTTAAGCAGTACAAATCCAAAATTCGTAAAAAAGCGTTTTTTTTGGCAAAACTTTCTCCAGTAGTTTTGATAGTTTTGTATACTCGAACGAGCTCAAAAATAAAATCTAACACCATATTCGGATTCCTCGTGAGACCATGCATCAGGTCATACTAAATTTGACCTTAGTTTAAAAACATTCAGTCCCAATTATGTCCTCATCGGTTCCTGACGGCACAAAAATCTTGTGTCCTTGGTTTTTCTAAAATGATATATTGCTCAATATGGTGACATAGCCTATTCGATAGTGCGTTGCTTGCTCTGCAATCGTAATAGTACAGAACTATCAGCGTTTTTAATACGGCTAAAATATTGAGCCAACCTTTTAAGTAAGGGTTTCACCAATACTCTTATAGGAGGGTTTGCGACATGGTCGTTGGAGAAAAACTTAATTTTCATTCAGTTGTCTCAAATAGAAGGTACAACCAAACCACATCCAAATCTAAAATATTGGATCATTTAGTGATACCTGTGAAAAATACGAGAGTGTAGGTGTGGATAAGATATAGGTCAACACTAGACTGACACCCACCCACACACATCCGCACTCACACCCCACCCCTCCACATACATGTGGTACAATGCATCTATGCTTTTGAAAACAGATCTCATCCCTCCTACTTGTCTAAATGAATACTTTTAAAAAGAAAACAAACTTAAAAAATTTACCAGTCATATAATGTCCCCATGTCTCCAAGATAAAAAAAAGATTGTCGAAATATATGTTTTATTGTACGAAATAAATTTAGTCAACCTATTTTTGTTTATCCATAGAATAACAATGTGAACATATCTTTATTATCAAATAAAGTTGATAATGAGATTAAACCATATGGGCAATAAACAAAATTTTTTGTTTAAGGGGACCCCCCCCCCCCCCCAGAAACGATTTCTCACTTAAAACGAACCATTTGGGCTGAAACTTTCAGGAGCAAGTGGTCCTGGTGAGATACGCTTGTGATAAAAATTTCAGCTCGATACACTCGAGTAGATCGAACTTACGGCCTGTTTTCATACTCCCAGGAGAATGAGAATCACTCAGTCGTAGTAAAGGCTAGAGAGCTCGGGGTGGTGTCAAATTAAAGCTAATCTCTGTGCGCAACTTTTCATCAGACGGATTTTTGAAACTCCTTTCCATTCATTTTTTATGACCATTTTACTGGGCAGGTCTGAAAAACACATCACTCGAACGACAGTAAATTCCACTTTTCTCAGCCTAGGAGAAATGGATCAAAAATCCGTCTGATAAAAAGTTAGCCCTGATTCAGAGCTTCAAAACAAAAAAAAATATTGAATAATACCCAAGACCGGGATGGAGTGATTCCAATTTTCCTGCTGAGAAACCATATTCTGAGAAAAATGCTAAAAAATTTTTAGAAATGGATTTTTTCATTCAAATCCAGAGCAAGCCATATTACAATGGTATATTCCATTGCACCATTTTAAAGAACGTAAAATATGAAGGTAGCTAGCGCTATCTGACGTGCTGGTTCATATAAAAATATTCTATGCAATAATAATGCAAGTGGGAGCGCAATTTTTCTGAAACTGAAAACCATGGAAATTTCTCCGAAAACATGGTAGTCGATTTAAAGTTTCATGCGATAAGTCTTTGAAAATCTGATCATTTTCCAAAAAAACTATACATATTCTGAAAGAGGAAGCTTCGCTGCATCTTCCTATGATAAAAGCTCCACTTCGATATTTTCCTGAAAAATTTGATTTTCTGAGGAGGGGGGCCCCCTTAAACATCCACGATATCTTTTATTCAAGAATTACAGAACTCTATTCCAAGCTCAACTAAATTCTAAAGTTGCTCGCCACATTAAACATAAGGCAAGGAACAGAAAAATCAATGCAACTGCTTTAAGTAAGGCGTCATCAACGACGAGCATTTTATTCTCAAGTATTTTATTGTAGTTACTTACTCTCTTCAGGTATGCTGAAACCTTGGAAGTATCTTAACTAATGTTGAGTACATGCATTTTTCACTTGTCTATTTCTCCATTCTTAGTTACACACTACATTATTCAGAGTAAGAGAAGTGTCTTGCAAGGTCAATAAAGTTTTTGTCTAAACAAAAAGTAAACTTCGCATTTATGAAATGTGAAGAACGGCAACAAACTGCAATTGCTTACTACTTATTAATATTCTTTCTTCTTGAGAGTTACATATTTGAATATATTATCGGAAGAAAGCTATATAATTCATCATGGATTGTGGGTTGTCCTCAAAACTTCAGATAATTAACCCTTTAGACCTCCCATGTAATGATAATAACGGATTAAGGCCCGCTCTCCCTGAAAAATGGATCTCAGACCAGGAACATCCAAATTGCATGAAACTTTTAGAATTTGTTCGGGCTGGTGAACTATGACTATGGTAAACTTTCCAGCCCTATATCATTACGTTTGACAGAGATATTCACCACACAAGGGTCAAAAATAGCTCATCTGTACTTCCACGATTTCTGTGTGGGTCTTTATTCTATACATTTAAATTTTCTTTTGTTTGAAGGCTCGTGCTTGGGGCTAGGGACTGCCGTGATCATTTTTAGGTGGGTGTAGGTATGGGTGTCAGTGTTTGTCTTCTTTTCGCCTACACCCACACCTCCACACCCACCCTAAAATAATTGAAGATAAACCTTACTTTTCAGTAAGAGATCGTAAACCTAACAATTCTTTGTCAAAATGCACTTTAACTGCTAAATACCTGTTTCACCTTTCATTCTCGCACAGACAGACACAAAAACTTATTTTATTTCATACAACCCTTCCTATAGCCGAGAAAATATCGCTATTTTCTCAAAATAACTTTTCCCTTGACCCTAAAAATTCAACTCAAAATTTTGAGAAACTGACTTCAGGTTCAGATTCATTGATCCCGATTTACTTTTCTCATCCTTTACCTCCACACTACAAAAATCTGACCGATTGAAAGTCCAATATAAAAACCTCTGATTGGCTGAAATCTTAGAATGAAAAAACCTGACTGGCTTAAGTCCTAATATGAAAAACTCGATTCGCTGAAATTACGATGTATTAATATTTGATCATGTATTCTGACCCTTAACCGTTGACCCTGACAGAAACACACACAGAAACTCATTTTATTTCATATGACACTCCCTTCAGTCGAAAGAATAAACAAAGCAAAAGTTCCCGTGGGAATCGCTGACTCCAATGAGATCAATAGAACATTATTATATTCCCATATAGAATGTCTTAATACTCAATTTAGCAATATTGATTTCATCCCTGTCACTAGGGCAGGTGGCCTTATATGTAAGTCCTTGCCAGATAAAGTATAAGGATAAACTGTTCTTTTTCGTCAGCCTGTCAATATTTTTTTGTTCAAAAGAGAGGCTTTGTGAAATTTTCCGCTCACATGTTTTAAAAGTCAGTTTTTCTTCCAGATATGTACTACTATCTCACTGATTACGTGAACCTACAGATAATACGAAGTCTAGTAATTGTCTTCTCGATAAATTCAGTCAAACTAGCAAATATCGTTCGGATCTTCCTGAATATTTGTGTCTCATTCGAACAGCTAGATGGGACTGCTATTGGACTATTCTATTCTAATGAGCATCACGTATCCGTGTGCTTGAATTTACCACCCTAAATTTTTGAGAGTGCCTCAATGTAATTGGCTGAATTCGCAGTCCCTCAAGACCTAATTGGCTGAATTTCCAGTTCCTCGAAACCTGATTGATTGAATTTCGTAGCCCCTCGAAATCTGATTGGCTGAATTCCCACTCCCTCAAAACGTGATTGGTTGAGTTTCCTAGCTCCTCAAAATCTGATTGGTTGAATTTCCAGCCCCTCAAAACCTGATTCGCTGAATTTCCATTCCCTTAAAACCTGATTGTTCAAGAGATGGATGAAGCAAACATCCGATCGGCTCATTGACGTTTTTTTGACCTTGACACAAACACCCACACACACGCACTCACACACACAAACTATTTTTTTTCATATGACCCTCCCTACAGTCGAGGGAATTAAATATTTTACTTGTATATTAATCATTAAACTTGGCAAAAATTTTAATTATAGAGAAGTATTAATTTAATTGAGCATCCAACTTATTTAGTGAGCATATACAAATTTTACTTAGCAAAAATCAATTTAGCATTTATATAGTTTTACTTAGCACTTAAATAGGTGCCTTTGTTTTATTGTGGAAGCTAATAGCAATATGCACAGAAGCATGTGTGTTTTATCTGATTGAATTATATTTTATTTAAAAAGAAGCTTTACTTTTTCAAGATATATAGGAAATATAGGAGAAATGTCTAAAAAAGAGGACATTATAGGACCTTTTCTAAAAATATAGGAAATATACGACGACTACGAAGCTCGTTCATTTGACGGATCAATGTCAATAGTAGTCCAGTATGTAGTTATATATATTCAAGATGAGTGTCCGGAGGCGACTACAATAAAAAATTGATTTCTTTTTGAAGTTTTTTTTTAAAATTTACTATATCTTCATGAACACCAGCATTACGAGCCATTTGAACAAGTGTCGCTGAATCTAGAAGTGATCCCCCATAACGAGCTATATAATCGGCAGGATTTTCTGGGCTAACACCAAGGTTTTGAAATTGTCGGACTATACGGTCTTCTACAGATTCGTAAATAATAACATAATGCTCTTTGCCGAAAAGTATTTCATCAAAAGACTCGCGGGACGCTTTAGACTGTTATGAGCCCTTTAATTCTTATATAGGCTTGTTAACCATGAAGAGAACTCATTTTATCCTCACCCTCATCTTTGGAGCGCCCTCCATGGCCAAAAAACGTACTTTCGACGAAGTTTTTTTCGGCGAAGAGCATACATACCATAAATAACAATCGTATTCTGTGGAGGTGGATATTCTATAGCAGGAGGAGCACGTTCAACAACTGTACGGCGTTCATTTTGACGTTGAGGTCCATAGGGAATCCATCGCTCAATTATAATATCACCTCAATAGCGAAAAAATAACAATCAGAAATTAAAAATACAAAGAAAAATGAAGTTAATTCGTGTACGTGGTATCTCTGCAAGAGATGGATAACGTTCAATGATGACTGATCGTGGTGGAGTAGGCATGGCAGGTAAGTGACGAGTAACTGTAAAATAAAATACATTGACCAATCTAATCTATGCAATTTAAATTTTTTTTTAACTTCTTTCACTAGGAATACGTTTTGGTAGTGTTGGTGGCCGTTCACGTAAGATAAGTGGGGGTTGTTGGCGAAGAGTTGATGCATGTTCGCGTATGACAAGTGGAGGTGGCGGTGGTGGACGCACTTCTTTAATAATGAGTGGCTAAAATCATAAAAAGATTAGTAAGATTGAATTTGTAAACAATTTGTTTCGTTACTCCTGGTGGTGGAAGACTTGGTAGTTGAAGATATCGAACAAGAACTCGTTGTTTTAGTGGCTGTCGAATAATTTTTGGATTAGGATCGCGATAAATATCCGTACAGGATTTTTCCAGATAATAATTGGTTTCTTGTGGACTATTTGTATTAATCACCGTATCATTAGTCCATTCATGAGCTGCTACTGTAGTTTCAATTGAAGCATATTTATCAGCCATTGGTTCTAAAACATCGTAAGAACTAAGATTATATTTATATCGATCAACTCGACTAGTAGTATTATCATTACGATAAAGTCCACTAGTCGTTAATTCATATGATGAACGATTCAATCCTTCAGTATTTGAAATCCTATTACGAAAAATACTAAATATGTATATATGTAGGGTGTGAGTGTGGGTGTAGGTTGTTCTATCAGTCTCACCCACACACATACGAAAACGACCGACATGCACATCCATAAGGTAAGTTAATCGGTTTAGTGTAGTAGAATATTTTGAAGGTAGTCTCATTTGAAAGAGCACATCAAAATGCGTCGAATGGTATTGAAAAATTTGGCAGATCGAACTTTGGCAGAAAAAAGAGAAAAAAAGAATGTTTTGAAAAATCCGTGCAGGAAAGTATACGAATTCTGAAAAAAACTTTGCCATCCAGAGTCTTGGGGAGAAGGGTACACGGATTTTTTAAATTTTATTCTAATTTCCAAACGATATTTTTATGCAAATCAATAAATAGTTGTGTGCTGATCAATACTCGATAGAAACTCTTCCGTATGATGAAACGTTTTGAATAATTTTTGAACCAAGTCGAATGCATTTTCTTTAGACAATGAGTCATTTTTTGGTTTTCTTTCAATGATTTTCTGTGAACCACTCTATAAGATATCAGGTCAATTCTTGCATAACTTTGTAATACTCAGACTACACTTCTCAGCCAAATGAGTCTGAATTCTATAGAGCCTACTTATTAGGAGATCGGACCCGGTCAAAGTTGGGCTTTCGGCCAAACTCGTGATTTTGCGGCAAGTACCTTGAGCGATAGGGACTAGCTAAATAGCTAAATTTTTACCCGAATAATTAATTAATAAGATTCATCTGAAGACAAAACGTTAGCTTCCCAGCATAATCCATTTATGAAATAGATATATGCACAATATATCAGAAAAAGATCATTCTCGTATACCTAGTAGTACTCATCAAAAGTTCATTCAGTTGAACTAATTTTTTATGATAAGTACAATTACTTCAGATATATGCACAGGAAAAATTTCAAGTCAAACAGATGTATTTCTGATGAAATATAAATGTCACAAAGGATGTGTTTGTGGCTGGCGTGTATGGAGGGAGGCGGCTGTGGATGTACGTGCTAATTATTTTCCCTTCTACAAGACCAATATCCACACCCCATCCACACCCTACGCAAGACAAGCATCTGACGAAGTCAGTATTCTGACTGACAAAACACTATCTGATAATGTCTAAGTTAGATAGAGTTTTCGGAGCGCAACAATGTTATATTCCACCGGTTTGCCCGAAATAAAAATCACATCATAGGATACGAAGCTCACCAAATATCTCCTATGATGATTTTTCACAAAAAATAGTACGTATTAATTGGCGTATTCGATGGATAATTGTAAAGTAAGCGGTTTTGCCCTTCATTTTTCAAACGAAAATAAGGGCCAAATAATGATCGCTATTTTCAGAACATTTTTTAATTCTGTTTTTCACTCACCAGTCGTTTTATCGGATGCAGCCAAAGAAGTTGTTGGGTACTCGCTTGATGCAGCTGAGGGATGTTTCAGTTTCTCAATCTCTTGTTGGAGACATTTAACTTTGTTATTCAGACGATTAATCACTTTAGCTGACTGCTGAGCTTCTTGTTCAAGACGTTGAATTTCAATATCATAACTAAAATTATTTTTATTTAGAACTTGTTTTTTGGCCTCAAATTTATTGATATGTTACTGTTTTTCGCTAATCGTTGCATCTTGCTTTTCAATTTTTTCTTTCAAATCTTTGTTTTCTACTTTCAGACGCTTGTTTTCGTTCATGAGTTGTTCCAGTTTTGATTGCAACTGTTCGTTACTAAGCTTCTCAACACCAGAACCTTAAAAATAATGAGATTGTTTCAAATTACAAGATAATACAGAGCGTGTGTGACTAAATCTAGGACACATCAGCAGTTTCGTATAATTGTGAAAATTACAAGTCATAAAGAGCACTAAGTATCTAGACAAAATCGCATGGAACGAACAGAACATCACTTGTAAAGTCCAAATAGACAAGAAGCATTTCTTAAGATAATTTTCTAATTTTTATGATTATCTACCTTCCTAGCATGAAGAAGATTCGAGATTTATTTTGGGAGAAGGAACAAGTCGGTTATTCATCCTAATCTTTGTTGGACTTATACTGTGCTCTATATTTCAAGTTGTTCAATTGTTAACAGCTAAAGTACTCAGTCGGAGCATTAAGTTGATCTGATTTGATATCCTTTAACCCTTTGGGGACGGTGATACAAGGGTTGTACCATCTGTTTTTCCAATAAAGAAAAAATTGTATTCTTTCAATAAAACGTTAGGTTTGGGAGGCCGTAAAGATGTGGTATGGGTGTAGGTGTTGAGTGGAGGTGTGGCTCTAGGTGTGGGCTCAGGTGTGAGCGTGGAATGTAGTTGTGAATGTTGGTTTGAGTGTATCTTATCACCTCACGAACATCTCACCTAGACACGCAGATTCGCATCCACACCCGAAAAGAACTACAAATTAGATCTAGCAGCGAATGTTACACTTGCGATTTAGCATTCTGTGTAAAAGATAAGAAAAATTGGTATTTTTTTGATTATCATAACGATTTTATATAATTAGTTGAGTCAAATAACATAAATTCATAAAAAAAAGGACTTTTTGTCTGAAAAAACTTCCGTCCCGAAAGGGTTAAGGTAGCTAATGTACTTTTTACCCAACACGAAAAACGCATCTAATTCGTGCTACCCATATCGCATATTTCTCTCCAGTACCGCCGGTATACCGGCAGTACCCCTTACAAATTCCGGTTCCAATTATAAACGGTTGCAGGCAACTTTTTTTACCTGAATTCTAATTAATTATGAGAAAGAATTCCAATTTATCGAGAAAAAAACAGTTTCATAGCATATTTTAATAATAAATATTTTTGCAACGCCATCTATAATAAGAAATTTATCTTAGAATTGGGGCCGATTTGGACTCTGTGGCTAATACAGATGGCTCAGGCATATCGACATTATCTAGATGGGAGGAAAATGGCTTAATTCTGTTAGTTTCAACAGACTTAAAAAATATTCAGCGGTTTCGATACATGACGTTACGATGCACTATTTTCAAAAAAACCGGCAGCATACCGCTAGTATAGCGCACGTTTTGCCGTTCGGTCAACCGGCAGTTTTTGTCCGGTTTGAATCACATGGGTAGCTGGAAGTATTGTTCTTATTTTGTTTACCTTGGATGATGTAGGGTATGCCTAAAAAACCGGAACAAAAATGACGAAGTAAAATTCGTCAAAATAGAAACATTGAGAGGCAAAAATATAGATCATATAGACACCAAAAAAACCTGTCGAAACAAAAAAGGCAGACAAAAATGTTGAACAATGAATATGTCGAAAATTTATAAGAGCCTTAGTGTGTAGATATCTTCAATTGATCCACACTGGCCACTCATTGGTGCCAGATCGAGAGAGTGGAGACCGAGAATTTATCATCCATTACCGCTCCAATCGTGAAAAATTCTTTATTTACTTGCAGAACCAATTTTTTTCGAATTCTGTTAGAAGAAAGATATTTTTTCTTCGCACAACAATTGTGACTCGCTACCAATGTTCACTGCTTCGAGTCATCCATGATCAACCCAGCGATATTCTCACGTATGATTTTTAAAAAGATTTTCACGTGCTCCCTATATTAATAAGATCATTTATATCTGAACAGTCTAATCTGTTGTATGATAATATTTTCGACGTCTTTTTTAGGCTTTTAGGCACAAGTGTCATTCGATATTTTCATAATTCGATGTTTTCTTTTTCGATATGTTTTGCTTCGACCTTTTTATATCATCCTATATAGGATCAAAATATGATCTGCTTGAATTGGATTTCTCGTATGCAATCTATTATCAGCGGTGTTCTCTGGAACCTTCTGGTGCACAGAGAACACAATATAGTCAGAATAGTTGTAAGAGGATTAAAATAAAGAAATGAATGGTTTTGGTTGGAGACCACTCTAGATGATAACAATATCATCGGTTTATTTCCTTTTCCACGATTTACTATATGTATATATCCAGACAAAGTAAGTTTATGTTTCCAAGGAGAAACAATATTAACCCTTTGAGGATGGAATCTGTTTTTAAACGAAAAAGTATTTTTCGACCTTTTTATTTTATTTTAAATCAAAATAGCTACATAAAAATCTTATGATAATCAAAAAAACAATTTTTTTCATCTTTTAAATCAAATACCAGTTTGCAAGTAAGGCATGCGATGTTTGATCGAGCTTTTGCTTCCTTGGTGCTTCAATAAGCTCATCTTCTTCTTTTTCCTTTAATAGGCAAATGCATTTCATTCTCAAAATTAAGGACAGTTTTTGGTGATGCTAGTTTAGACTTCATCTCAGAAGGAGGTTTTCCACGACTTATTCGTTCGCTGCCGGAGCAGAGAGACTTCGCCACTGAAATCATGTAGTTTAAGTATATTACTTTATCCTGAGCTAACTGATTATAGCATTTAAATGAGTTGAAAATGGATGCATGTACGAAATAAATAAAAATTCGAAGCCAGTTTCTTTTAGACTTGCGATTGAGATTATAGCAGCATATTCTTTGACTGAGTCGATCAACTCTATGTACAAATTGATTATAATCGTTTATTGTTTTTGGACAGTTAATTGTAATACGTTGACCATTTTTCAACTGACGGGAAATTGAAACAATTCCATTGTCTTCATGATAATTTGAAGCCAAAAAAACGTGTTTGGTATCCATCCATATAAAGACAATGCTGCTAGATATAATCATTGACTTGTAATCCCCTCGTTCCATTTCATATTTCTTGTCAAAATCCGGCGAAATACCTGCCCGATCTGGTCTAATCGTTCCATCGGCCTTTATGTTCTTTAATTTTAGTTTTTCTAATAATCCGGGAGAAGTGAAAAAGTTATCGAAATATAAATGTTTTCCTTCAAAATTATGGCCAGAGGTAAGATCGAAAACAACACGTCTGGTCAAAAGTATTTCTCTTTCTCTGATTTCTTCTTTTCCTAAATAGATTTGATAGTTGAATAAATAGCTAGTGATTGGATCGCATAAACACAAAACTTTATACCCTCTTTTTATCGGTTCTAGAGGCAAACACTGCTTGAGGCTTGATCTTCCCTTGAATTTTATCATACTTTTGTCGATTGTATCGTAGCGACCAAAGTTATAATTTTTCTGGAAATTCGTCCGCAATATTTCCATAAAATTCTTAACTTTGTAAATTTTACTGTAGTTTTTAGATTCTCGATTTGATTCTAATGAATTATCAGCTAAATGTAAATTATAAAAAATTTGAAGAAAACGATCTCTTGACATGATGGAAGAGATAAATGTATTATGGAATAGCACATCTTTATTCCAATAAAGTTTCATATTTGGCAAGTTATTGATACCCATTAGAATAATCAACCCGAGAAACGATTCAATATCTTTTTTGCTCACATCCTTCCAGTTACTGATTTTCTTCTGCTTGTTACTCTGTTTCTTTCCTCTTTCATAAATGTTTGTTTGATCAGTAATCAGATTTTAAATTTCTTCAGTAAAAAAAGTTCTAAAGACTGAAGTTGGAGTTCGCTCTTTGAGAGAGATTGAGGTAAAGCCACCATGCGGGCTATAAATTGCATTCATTGAATCCAGTACCACTTCATATACATCCAAATCATCATCAGAAAGTTTAAGCTCAGCTAAGCTATCGACTAGTTCGTCGAAATCGAGGTCACTCTCGCTAGTGTCATCACTGGCAGATGAATCACAGAACTTGTCATTGACTTCATTATTTCCATAGAATTCCATTTATTTAGTTTTAATTGTAAAAACGTTATAAAGAAGTAAAGAATTCAATTTCGAAAGGAAAACTGTATGCTTTGGAAATTCAACAAACGACGTAAATTTATCAATGAGAACAGGAGTGTATATATACCCAATAGAGAATGAGAATATTCTCGAAAAATACGATCAGAAGAGAAGAGAGAAATTATGACGCCACTGTACCTTAGCAACAAGGACAAAGGATGGATATTTGAAAAGAATTTATATGAGAGAGGGAAAGAGAGAAAAGAAAAGAAAAGTATAATATGACAAATATGGTCGTTTATGACCTTAATGATCTTACATATTTAATAGTTCAATGTGAACTAAACACTTTTTTCTCTACTGAAAAATAGGTGGGACAAGGTATGTCCCACCGTCCTCAAAGGATTAAACTCTTCATGAAGTGGGCATATGTGTTAGGACTCTACTCATAAAAAAATTGCTCGTGAAATACGGTGATTATATCGGAACAATATTATTCAAATGTATGTTCATACACATATCTTTCATTCGGCACAATTTTCATATTACAAGAAAAGTTAGACAATACGCACCTACGAGGTCTTGTAAATACAACTTCAGATATCTATTTCCAATATTCAAATACTTTAAAAGAGAAAAATATCTTTTTCTGTCTCGCCATTTTCTAATTGATTGCAATGCGAATCATCAGACTGTGACTTTGCTATCTGCTGAGTTCTCCTCATCCGTTAGTACTATTTTCTCATATAGTTTACAATTAGGATTAAAAAACATTAAACGACTGATTCAAATCGCTATTTTTGCTAATCAATAGATTCTATTCTATTGGGGTGGGTGTAAATTTAGATATAGATAATACGAACACCGACAGCCACAGCCACACACCCACAACCACACTCTAAAACGAATCCTTTCATCGAGTTTCTGACATCAGTCGTGCTACAACACATGCTAGAAATGTTTCATGCTTTTCTTACCTGGTGACAGAGGATCTGGTCGTTCGAGAAGCATGCGTGGCGGTGGTATTTCACGCAAATGAATAATATGTAAATTTTTCATGATGCTCAAATGACCAATAACTTCAAAATGGGTACATGGAAGAAGCAATATTTCTTCTTCCTGTGCATAATAGGAGTGACGTTTGATATCTTTTCCATTCAAGCATTCGATTGCGAACAGATTACGCGTGTCTGATGTACCCAAATATTGATCGCTTTCCAGAACGTTAATCGAAGTCGTGCATGAACTGAATGCCCACCATGTTATCTTGTCGCCCTGTTTGTAATGCGAGCGAAGATCACTGCGTACACCTCGCCAGACTGTACGACGAACTGATGGTAATTTGAGTAGGCCCGTAAAAAGTAGCTTCAAATAAGGAAACCAAGGAATAAGTTTTCTTCGATCTTCGAGTCGAAGTGTTCGATTCAGTAATAGATAAAGACTTGAATGACCAGGATTCCACTCGAAAGTATATAAAACGATGGCGGCTGATTCATCGGGAGTAAGTTCATCCGCTGGGTTTTTGGACCTTTCCGTAGCTGTCCAAACGTGATCATCAAGATCATTGACCAGCTCATTCAATCGTGCAACAGACTCTTTTAACGAAAGAAGAGGTCCGTCTGCAAAGCCACGCAAAGGTAAAAGTATATTCAGACGTTCTTCACCTGCATCGAAAAGACGAGTATTGATATGAGTTTTATCAGTAGTTGTTGAAATCGATTTCGCCATGGCATCGACCAGTTACTTTTGTCCGACTGTTTTATTCAGCAAGTAGTAATAAAGTGAGACTGACAGCTGAGTGTTTATCTTGAATGGAAGAAAATGAAAATTCATTCATGGTGTATGCTCGAGAGACCTGCATTAATACAATATTCTCACTGTCGATCTAAGTTTCCGTCAACATGTTTCGGTTTTACCGGCTTCATAGGTATGTTATCTCATGTATACAGTGTCTGGAGAGTTATTAACCAAAAATAAAATTATCCATCCCTAAAAATTTTTGAATAAACCAAGCAAATTCGTTTTATTTGCTACAGAACTGCTCCATCTTTTATTTGGACTGAGAATAAATGAAAGGTCTTAGCATGCAGAGACTCATAAGCAAAAAGTAACGTTGATGGAGGAGAACAAAGCTAATATGGCGCCATAGCGACTTAGGTAGGCTTTTCTTACTGTATATAATGATGCGAATTATAGAAGTAAACAGATTCCAGAAGTCACTTTAACTTCTGTTCAGTGTTTTCCTTAGACTGTCTATGCGGGTGTGGGTGTGGGTGTGGGTGGGGTGTGGGTGTGGATATGGGTGCGGGTGTGGGTGTGGGTGGGGTGTGGGTGTGGATATGGGTGTGGGTGTGGGTGTGGGTATGGGTGTGGGTGTGGGTGGGGTGTGGGTGTGGATATGGGTGCGGGTGTGGGTGTGGGTGTGGGTGTGGGTATGGGTGTGGGTGTCTTCTCAAGATCCCTTCTCACACTTACGCCGACATCCGCACCCACACCCACATCCACCCACGCCCACATCCATACCCTGCTCATAAGTGTCCTGCACACAATTGTCGGTTCTCATAATTGTCTTACACACAATTGTCTGCACAGAATTGTCTTGCACACAACAGTCATAGACCCACGATATTGCTGCGTAGAATGAACATTATCACGGTTAATCTAACACCTTGATTCGTTCCTCGCATCTTTTTTTGCTGTTGTGCTAACACATTTATCTGTTACTCAAAGGTTTTCCCCAGAACTCAATAGGATTGATTGATTGATTCTCTAAAACTTTTTGCTGTTCCTCACGCGAATTTCTCTGTGGTTCGAGAGTCTTTGCTGTAACCCCAAGAGGTTGACCGATATCCAGAAGATTTTTACAAGTATATTTGAGTATGGCCAGCTTCTGGAGCGTTTTGCTCTTCCTTTCAGGACTTCCTCTGTGATCATAAAGTTTTTACCTTCATTCACAGGCATTCCTTGAAGCCTGAAGCTTTTTGCTGTTACTTTCATATGACAGAGTTCTCAAGCTTTTTTGATCTTTTTCTCAGCAGTTTCTGTGCGATCTGAACGTTTTCGCTGTCATCCAAAGGTATTCAATGAGCATGGTGAATATTTTCGCCACTAACTTGACTAGGGCTCGGCGTAATCGCCGTGAGTCACGGTAGTCACGGTCACGATCACGGCCGTGACAGTGACTGATATTTTTTAAAAGTTCGTGACCGTGACGTGACCGTGACTGGAAGTTAGTCACGAATAGTCACGAACACGAATACAGTCACCTTGTTTGTATTCAAATTCTGTTCTTCAATATAAAAAAATCTGCTTATTCTTTCTTTCGTTTCACGGGGGTATGTTCTTACCACATTTCACCAATAGAATTTCTATATGACCTTCGTCAACAATACATATTATTTACCGAAAGAGGCTGTTATAAGCTAGAAAAAAATTTTCGTGACCCACGGTCACGCCGGGGTCTAAACTTAACACATCGACTAGTTCTCTTCATTTTTTTGCTTCTGTTTGACTTATTTCGCCGTGGTGTGACGCTTGCCGCCATCACGAAATCACTTTCATGGATAGCGTGAAACTTTTGATATCTACTCTAGCACATCGCTAGGTTGTCTGAAGTTTTTTTTTTGTAGATCTTCTCACGCATTTCTCTACGGCCAAATAGGTTTTTGCTATCTGTTAGAAAGATTCATTGGTAGTCTGAAAGTCGCCACGACTACCTCAAGATACGGATGGGTTCTCGGGTGTTCTTTTACTTTGATAACAAAATTCTTTGTTGCTGGACAATGTTTATCATCATGAAAATTCATCGCTAGCTAGCTAGAAATTTTTCGTAGTGACTTTTACACATCGTCGAATGGGTCGAAACTTTTCCAATTGTCTTGATAGATGTACTTATGGCTGGAAAGTGATTCCGATTATCTTGAAAGATGAATGAGTAAAGTAAAGTCTTTTCCGACTCTTTTGCATTATGTACAACGGAAAGGCGCTCGCTGTGGACGAACTGGATTCATCGGTTGTTCCTCTCTATCTTCCATCGTGATCACATGTTGATAGGTCGCATTAAGCTCTGCTTCACTCTTCTTACGTATCCGTCCGTGGGCCCAAGGATATTGATATGGGTGTGGGTGTGTCTATATTTAGCAGAAATCATACCAAAGTCTGTATCTACACAGATAAGATGCAGTCATGTGCCAAAAGAAGGTATTCACCTTCAGTTGCAGCCATTTCTTGGCAATGTCATCATACTATGTTTATGCCTTCTCACGAAATTCCTAGTCATATTATCTTAATAGTTCGATTGTCGTCTGCGAGCTAACGAAAGGTGATGAACAGAATGAAATAAAAAGAAAGCAAACTAATCATGTAAAATAGGGACAACTTCGTAGAATAGAAGAATTAGTCTATTTTCACCGACTCCAGTGTCACCGAATCCAATGTCACCGAATCAATTCATAACCGAAAGTGAGTCTGACTCAAATATGATCCGTTATGTATAACATTTTATTATAATTAATTAGTTTATTAACAAATCAATTGGTTACCATCTGAGTTTGTAGGGTATGGGCGTCAGACTGGGTGTCAGCGTGAAGAAGAAAACACCCACGCCCACATCGAATATATGATCCTGACTCGTTTTCCGCTATGAATTGATCCATTGATATTAGAATCGGTGAAAAACATTGTCAGCAAAAAAAAAAGTACGATGAAAATGAAAGTTATTCAATAGAAACCCGTACAATCATTGAATTTGTGTGCGATGGATGCAACAAAGTGAATTCACTAGATTGCTGATTGACAAGCAATCATCAATCGATCGTGTGAACAGAAGTCAGTTATGAGTGTTACCTTCATATCTGTCGAAATCCTTTCTAGTCAGTATCCAATCAAAGATTATCTCTGTTTATGTCGTTTAAAATACTCTTTCTAGTCTTAGAAATCCACCTAATAAGTTACTCATCAAAATCGAGTAATGATAATCAACTATACCGAGTAATTTTCTGCGATGGTATTTTCGAAATTCGTTGAGTATTGTGTATGTGAGATGATTCTGTTGTGTGTTGAATGATTCGTTTGTTATTTTTGCATCATGGCAATATTTTACTCTGCATTTCTGGTTGTTTTTGCCTTTTTTTCATTTTTCTTTTTGAATTCGTTTCAATTACACACTCTATTTGGAAGGATTGCACATAGCAACAGTAAAACATTCAAGGTAAAGAACACAAAGCGATTGATTATAAACAAGACAGAAATTCAGTTCGTAGTGACTATAAACACCTACTTTTATTGCTGTATGATATGTAGGAGTTGGTATCGATCAGAAAAATACAATAGTTAACAGACATTGAGTTTATTGGATACCTATGAGAAGGGTGTGGGATGGGTGTGGTGTGGGTGTGAGTGTGGGTGTGGGTGTGGGGTGGGTGTGGGATGGGTGTGGTGTGGATGTGAGTGTGGGGGTGGGTGTGGGTGTGAGTGTCTTCTCAAGATCCCTTCTCACACTTACACCGGCACCAACACCCGCACCCACACTCACACCCATCCACACCCACACTCCACACTCTCTCATATTATGTATAAGCAGCTCTCCATTTTACTAAAAAGAACTGATTCAAAAAAATTCTAGTTTGAGAAGTTAATTGTACGAAAGACAGGAATGAATGATATCTGCCCACAAATTTAGATTATGACTGTGAATGGAACAAATTTCCTTTATCCTAGTAAAGAAAAATTTTTAATCTTTTTACAGAACTTAAACAATTATATGAGGAAAGAGTTAAACTGATTTTGCGAGTTTGTATGTATTCTAAGCTTCTTTCAATATTTAAGGCTTTCGAAGTATAATTATTGATTATATGTATAAAATGTCCTAATCATAATAAGACTTTATGATTTATACTTCATATCAAGTTTTAGAACAACTTTTTCATAGGCTTTAAATGTCAAGAGCTACAAAATCTACTGGGGTCTAGTGGATTCTATTAGAATATATGGCAATTTTCATTAATTTAAATAAATCTGAGAAAATGAACCATATTCATCAGAAGTTGAAAATTTATCATTGAAAAAAAGTTGAAGGTATATGATAATGATAATTACGCTTTATCATTGTAATTCATACTTTTCTCAAGAAGGCTATTTAGAAAAAACGCACTCTTTTTGAAATATTATCATTTTACTAGATTACTGAAAGAAAAAAAAATAATTTCTTTTTCGATCAAAGTACGAAAAAAAAAGCCAAGGCCGATGTTATTTGCGATAAAATTAACAAATGTGATAGGAGGAATGATTAGAAAAATATTTAAAAAAATATCGATGAAACAGTATTAAAATGGCACTTGATTTT